GGTAGGTAGGTAGGTAGGTAGGTAGGTAGGTAGGTAGGTAGGTAAGTAGGTAAGTAGGTAAGTAGGTAAGTAGGTAAGTAGGTAGGTAGGTAGGTAGGTAGGTAGGTAGGTAGGTAGGTAGGTAGTTAGACAGACAGATAGATAGGACGATAGACAGATAGACAGATAGCTAGTTAGATAGATAGAGAGGGACGGGAGACAAATAGAGGACTATGGGACCCTTGCCAGCGTGCACCCAGCGCGCAACCCTGAACCCTAAACCCTTGGGACCATCACAAGGTTGGGCTTTGACTTTTTAGATCTTTACAGTCAGACTCGGGCTTCAAACAAGCTGCGCTTCTTCTGCGCTGTGGTCTCAACATTCCTGAGCGAGGGTTCAGGGATTCCATAAGACTTCCTCTAGGAGGGCGGCTTCTATGTGTACAAGGCTTTACGAGGGGTGTTGGGGTTGCTAAGTCTGCGGCTCAAGGATTGGGCTTTACATTTTATGAAGAAGGACAAGCTGCACAAACATGCCCCCTAGCGTGAACAGTGCCTGCTTTGCAAGCTTGGTGCTGTGGTTTTCTAGAGTCCGGGGCCTCACATCTGCTGGCTTTGTTTTTCGTGGGTTGATATCTAGTTTTTTCGTTGGTTGATACATAGTACAGATTTCAGTGTTGAGCTCGGATTTTCGTGTCCATCTCTGCAAGAGGCCTTCTCGCATCGGATCTGTGTCGCATGTTGCAGAATAAGAAATCTGAGCACCATGAGAACCGCGAACTATGTGAACGATGCGCATGAACCTCATTGCTCGAGGTTCGGAGTGAAGACATTACGCTGAATATCTTCCAGGTATGCCTGGAGGCTTAGAAAGGAAGTATGGAAAAGCCCTTGGTCGCTTCCATCTACAGGAAACTGTTGTGATTTCGAGATGCTCCTGTGCCCGCCTTCTTTTAGACCCTAAGCCCTAAACCCTAAACCCTAAATAGTGTCTTCAGATTCTGAAAGAGTCGGAAGCGAACTAGGCAGGCTCTATCAACCCTCTACTATCCCCTCATACCCCGTAACATCCTCAACCCTACCCCGAAACCCACAAGGTCCCCAACCCGAACCCCTCGACTGCCCCTGAACCCTAAACCCTAAACCCAGAATATAGGGGCCTTAATGCCTATAGTATAATACTATTTTTTTTGGGGGGTTCCTTATTCAGTTATAACTATAGTAGGGTATACCCCCAAAGCCTATTCTAATTATTAAGGCTCCCACATTAAGCCCCCAAATCTCTATCCTGTCAGGCGTCTTCGGATCAACAGGATCCAGGGAGAAGAGGGGCTCGCGTCGGGACTCTCGGCGGACCTGGATCTGCAACCCTCTTGGGCTATGGGGCTGGGGTTTAGGGTGTAGAGTTTTGGGTTTTTAAGGCTTAGGGTTTAGGGTTTAAGTTCTTAAACCCTGAACCCCTAAGCCTAAGCCGCACACCCTAAACCCTCGAATAATTGGGGGGCTGGGGTTTAAGGTTTAGGGTTTCGGATCTAGGGTTTAGGGTTGGGGTTTAGGTGGGTTCAGGGGTTGAGATTTTTCCCCCGTCCTGTCATCCTTCACATGGCTCCATGAACGACGAGCTTCACGGCTTCGCATGGTCTGCTGCTAGTGATGCTTGTGGTGCGAGTAAGAAGGGGTACGATAGCAACATTGCTGGCTTTCATGATGCCCCGTAAACCGTACATCATACCCTTAACCCCAAATCCGAGACCCAAATCCTAAACCCTGATCCCCGAAACCCTACCCCCTAAAACCCCCTAAAACCCCCCCTAAAACCCCAAAACCCCCTAAGACCCCCTAAAACCCCCTAAAACCCCCTAAAACCCCCTAAAACCGCCTAAAACCCCCTAAAACCGCCTAAAACCGCCTAAAACCCCCTAAAACCCCCTAAAAAACACCAAACTCGGAAGCCGGCCTTGAGGGCCAGGGCCAGGTACTCCAAATTCACGGCAGCTGCGGGTTCGGCCGTGGGCGCCACGCGCACGGAGCGGGCGGCCTGTGGAACTTTAGTGAGAGGCTTTAGGCTTTTGGGGTTAGGGTTGAGGGTTTAGGGTATAGGGTTTGGGGTTTAGGATTTAGGGTTTAGGGTTCAGGGTTTAGGGTTTAGGGTTTAGGGTTTAGGGTTTAGGATACTGAACCCTAAGCCCTACACCCTGAATTTATCAGTCTATGGACCTGAACTCGATTCCTGAACTAAGCCCTGGACCCTAGACCTAAAGCGCTCTAAATCCCTTAAAGACTTGCTCAAGATTATATCATGAGCTACATACTACATAGTACATGTTTTATACTATACAGTATAGACTCTATAGAGTAGAATATGTAACAAAGTACAACGTATATATACCAGGCTAACGTCACACGCATTATCACATGTGAGAATGAAGAAATTCGTGCACCGTCGCAGTTTAGAGCCATAGTCCACGAAAGTCGGGTAATTAACCGCTGAGGAAGAGTTGACTTGGGCCTCTCTGTGTCCAGATTACTCGGGGAACTAGGGGTTAAAAATGTGGGATGTGTATAGGCCGTAAGACAGTCGAGACATAGAAGAGGCGCGATGCCGAAACATGTTTTTTGTAGCTCTGTTGGCTCCATGGAAGAAGGATGTGCTTGGTGCAGCATTACTCTTACAGGACTGTCTCTTGAGTTGTTGCAACAGGCAGCCCGTCTGACCCCTGGCTGCCCGCCTCGTCCCAAACGAGGCAGGTAAGGCCCCTGCAACAGGAGCGCAGTGCTGGCTTCCGTTGATGATCTGATCTGATATGATATCATAACTATGTTCAGTACCCTAAACCCTAAACCCTAAACCAGTATATCATGTTACATTCTTTTGCCCTTGGGCGCCGGCTGCGGGGCCTGGACTTAAAGCCTTACGGCCGAACCCTGTAACCTTAAACCCCGAATCCCAAACCTTAAACCCAATCCCCCAACCCTAAGCCCGAAATCAAACCCCTAAACTCTCAACCCCTAAACCCTAAACCCCTAAACCCATAAATCAAAATCCAACACACCAAACCCCAAACCCGGAATCATGATGAACCAGCAATCCTGAGCTCGAAGCACCCAGGACCGCTCGGGGATTTCAGCGATGTGTCGATATTTCTCGGGATTAGCGGTGGAGGGTCCTTTTCGGAGCCAATAGCCAAGATCAACCCACCCCTAAACCCCAAGTCTCGCACTAGTCACGGAAGAAGTGGGGGATTTGGCGACATCCAGAGGCGACACATCGAGACTTAGGGTTTTTTATGTTTTAGGGTTTAGGGTGCAACGAACTCATGTTCATTATGTGTGCTAGTGCAAGCATGTGCGATCATCGAAACGATGCCGCAAACATACATAAAGCCATGCAAGCCCGTGACTCCCAGCTGGAAAGCCTCTAGACTCTGAGCCATACTGTCTTAAAGCTAGCCAAAAGACAGAATCACATGTACTTTCAAGCTGGCATCAACATGCTGGTTCTTTGTGCGTGTGACAACCAAGAGTAAACTACACACAAATATAGCAGCGATACATAAGAACACGCAAGATACACTTTCACAGACGAAAACGAGAAAAGAGTTCGAGCTCAAAAATTCAAAAAACATCAAAGCACTACTACTTTAGCACAATAGGCAGGTACATCCGCATAGTACGTCGATGGAAGTACAGTATTGGGCAGTGGGAACAACAAGATAGTCGTGGCGGCACCGCGGCAGTACAGTCTGTCAAACAGGGTTAACAACAAGCAAAAATCAACAGAACATCAAGAACAGCACGTAGAGGTGTAGCAATCAAGTAATTGTGCTACCAGAAGTCAGTTTCATGGAAGTCTTCTGGGCTGCCGTCACATAGTCACATGGGTGGTTGTCAAAATTATGGTCCCTTTTTGGGTCCTTATTATAATACGGCACCTATTATTTAGGGTACCCCAAAAAGGACCATAATTTTGACAACCACCCACATATCAATGGAAGAGCCTGCTTCGTGCAAATCATGGCAGTAGAACTGAAACCCTGCAATGAAAGATCTCAGTGCCAACTCACGGAGACGCATGCAGAGTCATATCCTCATGTTTACATATACATACACTAAAGGCCTAGGGTTTGGGGTGTTGGGTTTAGGGTTTAGGGAATTAACCTCAAGGCTAAATCTTAAACCCTGCGCACATAATAGAGCACCCATGATTGTAGAAATCAAACTCTGCAGCTCGGGGCAACTGTGTCGGCCGCCGTTCGCACATGCTGGTTTAGTGTCCCTTATAAAGGTACCTAAACCCTAAACCCTAAACCCTAAACCCTAAACCTGTCTTCTTGATTGCCAGCCTTAGCAGGGCCCGACAAGGAGCTATAAGTTAGCAGGCTGCAGAGTGCCAGTGTATGCGGAAGGAAAACCCGGAATCCTAAACGGTTTAGGGTTTAGGGTTTAGGGTTTAGGGTTTAGGGTTTAGGGTCTCGGGCGTTCTGGGCCGCCCGAAATTACTTCTGTCGTCTTGCCTTCCAATATTCCAAAGATGCTGTGAGGACCGCTGCGGCGCAGTCGCTACAACAAGTCTACGGTCGAAACCTTTCGAAACCTTACATAAATAGATGAGACCCTGAACAGCAACATCACAAAATGCCGGCATTACCCGAGCCTTGCTTCTTCAATCTGCAGTAGTAAAAGTAGAGGCAGACATCAGAAGACTGGGAGCAACTGCGCTCATCAAACTTGTTGTTGTCACTATCAACAATTCAATCCGTGCTTCATGTGACGATAATTAACCGAAGCAAGAACTATGTCGCGGAGCTCACCAGCAACACAGCAAAGCTCATTCCAGTCAGATTCAACAGTGCGAACAACAAGACTACTTCGGAAGCGCACGTACGCACACACACACACACACCCGCGCGCGCGCTACGAGTAAAAGCGAAAGCGAAAAGTAGCAAACTAGTTGCATTCAGCAGACACTATACCGGAACATGCGAAACAAACTTCGGACCAGAGCAACGCATCAAAAACTACGCGAAGATGACTTTGACTGAGGAACAGGCACCGACATGCGCAGAACAGCTCAAGAGAGCACAATAACACTGTGAGTCGCTAGAAGAATTGACCCCGAAGCCCAAACCCCGCAAACCATAAAACCCCGAATTTCCTTAAATTCCTTAACCATAAACCCTCGTCAAGGCCCTAAACCCCCTAAACCCCGAATTCGTGAACCCTAAACACCCTAAACCCTAAACCCCCTAAACCCTAAAACCCTAAACCCTATCCCTAAATCCCTAAACCCTAAACCCTAAACCCCAATCAAGCAGAAGAGAACCGACTTGAGCCTGAGCTCGCCAGAGCCCAGCTGCTCCGCCAGCGGGGCACTGGAGGGCACCAGCCTGAACTGATGCGTACATGGGTTTAGGGTACATACATACCTACATACATACATACATACATGCATTACATGCATTACATACATGCATTACATACATTACACTACAATACATTACATCACACTACAATACATTACATACATGCATGCATACATACATACATACATACATCCGCCATGTCAAGTGCACCATTAGACACGATTAGATTGCAGTACCATGATATCGTAAGCCGTAAGACGTGAGCTAGCATCCGCTTCAAGCCGACTTGAACGTACTCATGAAATCAAGCACTCAACTCGAAGCCCTGAACCCTAAACCCTAAACTGGCCCTAAACCCAAAACCATAAACCTCAAACCCTAAGCCCCTAAACCCTAAATCCTAAACTCTTCATCCCTACACCCGGTCGACTCTAGGCCCTAAACGCCGAAACTCGTAGTCCCTAAACACGAAGACTTCGCAGCCCGGGCACGACGTGGACCAGCCAATGTCGTGCTCAGCTCCTGGGCTTCCAACGACTTAGGGTGTGGGGCATCCAGTTTGGGGGTTTGGAGTTAGGGTAGAGGGTTGAGGGTTGAGGATTTCGGGTTTAGGGTTTAGGGTTTAGGGTTTAGGGATTTAGGGCTTGGGCTTTAGAATTGGCGCTGAGGGTCTGGTAGGGCTCGGTAAGTTTGGGGTACGTAGATTTTGAAGTGCGGTGTCTAGCGTTTAAGGCTAAGGCTTAAGAGAAAACTTGAAAGGCCCTTCCGGCAAAAGGCTGGGCCTCAACAACTCTGGGAGCTTCTTCGAGGACGATATGGTTTCTGGTTTAGGGTTTAGGGTTCGGGGTTTGGGGGTTCAATTCACAACAATGGGAAGCAGCGTGCCAAGGATGTTGACAGATCTTTTGTCGCATGGCACCCTAAGCCGGAATAAACCCTAAACGGCCCCAAACCCTCAACCCCAAAACCCTAAACCCTGAACCCTAAACCTTCAACCCGAGACTTCTACATCCTGAAACCCAACATTCTGAAAACCTAAACTAATCACTGATCCTGATCCAAAACTCGCACGCCAAGACGATTGGGTACAACTGCCCCTTAAATTGGGGGCTACCCGGGTATGTCTCCAGGGAGTTCGTTTCATGTTCGCTTCAAGGAGGGAACCCTCAAAACGGCCCCACAGGACGTCCCAGGCAAGGCTCCACCTCCTCTTCCACTCGGTTGAGGATTTAGGGTTTAGGGGTTTCGGGTTTAGGGTTTAGGGGTTTCGGGTTTCAAGGGCCATAAATCCTAAACGCTAAACCCTAAACACCCTTGCTTGTTGGATTCCTAGTGATCTGCTGGCTTACTGGTACTTTCGGTCTGCATCCCTTCATTAGGAGTTAACCCTTGGGGATATAGACCCTCTCAATAAGGTCCCTGTTAAGAGAGCCAGAAGTAGGGTGAGGAGGGATCCCCTTTCAGGGGGTCTCCTTAGTACCACCTTGGATTCATAACATAGACGTATACAGATACGCAATTACATGTGGGTAGTTTTCTAAATTAGGGTCCCTTTTGGGGTCTTTTCTAAAAGGGTGCCGTACTATATTGGGGACCTAAAAAGGGACCCTAATTTAGAGAACTACCCAGGTACCGTACACGTGTTTGTGTTAAGTGTGCAGACGAACGTGGTCACGAGGTAGTCCGCTGCGTGCTTGGCCTAGGCGTGCCGGGTGGAGGATAGGCTTGAGCCCTAAACCCTCAACCCCGTAAACCCTAAACCCGAAAGACCCTAAACCTTCATCCGCAAAGCCAAAAACCCGGGCACAAAGCCCGAAAATGCTTTCTAGTCAAGGATCGATTCTTCTGCTTCTTCTCACGCTGCTCCTGCCGTTGCAGAACACATGGAGGGTCTGTGGCTTCAGGTCTATGTAGTGCCTGGGATTTGGAGTCGGGGCCGAGGTTGCTGCGCCTGAGACACTGGGGTCCATGGAGACTTGAGCAGTGTTGACAGTCGCTGCTGGACGCATAAGATCTAGGAACCATCCAGCGCCAAAGGACTTATTGGCTGTGTGTACCATTCGATCAAGAATCTGCGGGGTCAGATAACAGATCGCGCCATGCCTCATACAGCCTCAACAGCCGAATAAGTGTACCCTAAAATCCAAAACATTAAGCCCTAAGCCGCAAAACCCGAAATCTTCAACGCTAACCGTTGCTAACCCCTAAAGCCCTGAAGCCCCAAACCCTCAATCCTAAATCTTCAACTCTAAACCCCGAAGCTCAACCCGAAACCCTAAACCCTAAACCCTCTACACCCGTTAAATCCTGAATCCGAAACCCTGGAAGGGTCCTGCAAGAAGCCTCTCTCCTGCTCCTGCATCTCCTCAATCATCACCTGATTTCAGAGCTTGGGGTTTAAGGTCTAGGGTTCAGGGTTGAGGGCTTGGGTCTCTTCAGCGCTGCATCTTCCGGTTTAGGGTTTAGGGGTTTTAAGGGTTTAGGATTTAGTGTGGTTGGGTTTAGGTACGAACATGAAGATAGTTAGCAGTCACATCGACAATAATCATAATGGATAATGAGTCAGATAATGACCGCGATGATGATAATGAAATCACCTGTGAGAATGATAACGATCATGATATATGAGAATTCTGATACTACTGGCAATAACCAACCTGATGGCAGTTCTGAGCAGGCATAGAAACATCTTCCTTCCCATCTGGTCGGTTCGAGATTGATAAGGTGCTATTTAGCAACTATCGCCCTACACACAAGGCCTAAAATCAAAAAATGCTGAAACCGGCGCTGAGACCACCACCCTGAACCTGAAAACACGAATGCTGGGTTCTTGGTCTGAATTCTAGTTTAAGTTGCCACTATAATATGAAGGCTTTCTTGTTCTTGCCTCAAGAACTGTATAGTATAGAGGTATAACAGAACTAAGGTAAGCTACCATGATAAAGACGTGTAGTTCCAAGTTTCCTTCCATGGTACGCATCAAGCAACTTCCTTGACAAGGAACCGTGAAATCCCTTGTTAAACCTTATCAGCCTTATCAGCCCTAGATTGCTCTGAGAAGCCCCATAAATCCCAGGTGGCCCTGTGACGCGTACAACGCTCGTCAACCCCTGTACAGCGGTCTAAGGTTCAGGGCCTAGGGGGGAAGAAATGAACCCGGTAACGATAAGCCATGGGAGCCTGTGCGCAGCACTCGGGGTGGACGCAGGTGTTCTTGGCCTGTAGCGAGGCTGAAAGAGAGGTGGGTCGGCCTTGGGCGTGGGGTGTAGCGCTAGGAATCAACGCATACATAATAATGTGCTTGCTGTCATAATTGAGACAGGGTTTGGGAGTTTTTTGCTCGAATAACCCCGTGAAATTCAGGAACAAAAGGAAAACATCATTGACGATACTTCTGGCTTCTATATACCACGCACAAACAGACAGACACACACACACACACCCTAAACCCCTAAACCCTAAACCATTAAAGCCTAAACCCCTAAACCCCTAAACCTCTAACCCTAAACCCCTAAACCCCTAAACCCTAAACCCAAACCCCTACAGCCCTAAACCCCTAACCCCTAAACCCCTAAACCCTAAACCCCTAAACCCTAAAC